ATTTTTATTTTTTTTATTTTTTTTTATTTTATCACAACCATAGTGTATCTTTGTAGAATTTTTAAATCTTGGTTTCTCTGGTGTTTCATTATGATTAGATTCAGGTATTTTACAATGCAATAACATTGTAAAATAACACAAAAGTGATGTTGTGTCCTTCTCAGGCCATTGTATCAGGAGGCATTTGATGTTCCTTTGATTCAGTATTAGTGATACTAACTTTGATAACTTGTGTAAGGAGATGTCTTACCAGTATGAGCCATCATAAACTTAATACTATTAATTTGTAATGAATAAGTAATTTGTGGGGAACTATTTTGAGACCATGGAAATTATCTGCTTCTCACCAAACTTGTACCTAGTATACTTTATCATCCATCAATGATTGTTGACTGAATCAGTTATTACTATGGTATTTGCAAAATGATGATTTTTCTAACTCCATTATCCTTTCTACATTTATGACTCAGCATACTGATGTAAGGGGTAACTTTCTTTTACCCCTATTTATTAATTTGGTAGACTTAAGAATTGTTATTTAATTCAAAATGTTATAATCCATTGATCTTGTTTTAATTTGATGCTCAGCTATTTCAGATTTGGCCATTGGGAACCCACTCAAACAAGTTCCCATGAACTTTTGACATGCTCATCATTCTTTGTACATTTCATTACTTTCTGACACAGTGAGATATTCCAGGATCATCTTTTACTTTATCTACCCTAGCGTTGTAATCAATTGTTTCTTTTAAGGATCACTGGTTCCTTTCTCTGGAGGTGGGTATTTAGAAACTTAGATCTGGGAACTTCCTTGGTGGTCCAGTGGTTAAGACACCATGCTTCCAATGCAGGGGATAAGGGTTCAATCCCTGGTTGGGAAACAGATTCCACATGCTATGTGGCATGGCCAAAAAAAAAGAAAGAGTCTAGACACCAAGTGAAGTGAAAGTTGCTCAGTTGTGTCTGACTCTGCAACCCTACAACTATACAGTTCTTGGAATTCTCCAGGCCAGAATACTGGAGTGGGTAGCCTTTCCCTTCTCCAGGGGATCTTCCCAACCCAGGGATCAAACTCAGGTCTCCCGCATTGTAGGAGGATTCTTTACCAGCTGAGCCACAAGGGAAGCAGACACCAAGTGTGCTGATTTTCTACTGCAGTAGAAAATGTACTTTATTATATCTAGTCTCTGCCATTACATCTAGTCTCAGCTGGATTAGAAAATCTCTATCTCTGCCTCTAACCATGGAGTTCATATTGATGATCCCAGATCTAATCGAACGCCAGAATGTTCACTTTAGTCTTTTTCCTTTCTATATTTGTAAGCCCTTTTTACAAGTGACAATCTGGCTCAGATTATTCTCAGTATATTTTACTCACTTGCCTAGGCTTAGATTCACAGAGAGTATTTTAGATTTGCTACCCCTACAACTATAAAAAATCATGCTGATTAACCAGTGTTCAATGCTTATAAAAAGATTTTTGTTTCCAAACTGAGAGTATATAATTAAAACTCTGCATTCAAAAGTAATTATTTTTCCCTTCAGTGTGATTATGTTATTCATTTGAATTTTAGTTAGGCTCATTTATTTCTGTTTGTATTCCATTTTTGGTTTCTTTCCCTTCCATCATTGTTAATTTAACATCATCATCATCCTTATTTTGTATGAGTATATAAAGCATTAGCATGTTTCCAAAACTCAAAATTACACAAAAATCTATATTCAGAGGAGTATTACTTCCCCTTTCCCACCCCATGCACCTTAATACACCCTTGTAAATTTCTGGTTCATCCTTCCTGGATTTGTTTTTTAAAATAAAAGTAAATACATTTATATTATCTTATTTCCTCTTCTTTCTTGCGCAAAAGTATCATTCTATATATGCCCTTTTGCACTTTGCTTTTGATGATTTTTTTTTGGCTGCTCTGGGTTTTCATTGCGGCATGTGTGTTGGTCTGCCCCCTGGCATGGGGGCTTAGTTCCCCAAGCAGACACTGAACTTGTGTCCCTTTCATTGGAAGGTGGATTCTTAACCACTGGACAACCAGGTTAAAAACTACTGCTTTTGTTGATAGACAACAAATATATTCTGTCAATCACTCCATATCATGTCCTATTTAGTTTTTATTTACAGTTACGTAGTATACTATTGGGGCTTCCCTTGTGGCTCAGCTGGTAAAGAATCTGCCTGCAATACGGGAGACCTGGGTTCGATCCCTGGGTTGGGAAGATCCCCTGGAGAAGGGATAGACTACCCACTCCAGTATTCTGGTCTAAAGAATTCCGTGGACTGTACAGTCCATGGGGTCACAAAGAGTTGGACAAGAACTGGGCGACTTTCACTTTCAGTATGCTATTGTGCGAATATACCATAGTTCATTCAACCAATCTCTTATGTGTATGTGTGCTTTTTTTTTAATGTGTGTTTTTTCACAGTATCTTTTAGTTATAAATAATATCCTTTGTTCATATGTTTTTTTTTTACATTCTTGAAGGTGTATTTTAAAGGAAAATTATTAGATGCAATTTAAAAGGTAAGCTTACTTGTGGTTTTGTTAGATATTGTCAAATTCTCCTCCCATAAAGGTGTGGGAGACATTCCCACCAGCGATGTATAAAAGTCTCTTTCCTCATGGTATGTCAACAGAATGTGCTATCAAGCTTTGTAATTTTTACCAAATCTAATAGTTGAGAAATGGTATCTCAGCACAGGTATAATTTCTATTATAACTAAAGTTGTCCGTCTTTTCATTTAAAATCTTTATCTGTGAATTGTCTGTGACTTTTGCTTATTTTTGTATTGCATTTTTGACATTTCTCCCCTTCAGTTTTAGAATTCTTTATGTGTTGGAATGGATATTAGCCTTTTATTTCTGATGCATGTTAATCATAGGTATTTTGAAATCTGTGTGAGTCTGTGGGACTGTTTCTATTTTGTTAAAATTAATTCTTCTGTTCCTTTTTGCTAGTAGACTTGGTATTTTTGAGTGAAGGCCAGTCTTTGTGTATAAAATGATGATGTACCGGCTCTGGATGGTGGTGTTTCCCTTCAGAGATGATTTCATTTTCTACTAGCTGACATGATATATGGGTAGATAATCTTGATCAAGGCTTGTCAATGTAAGGCTTGCCTTCATTCTAAGGGAGTAATACTTCTTGGGTCGAAACTGAAAGTCTAGTCTTCGCCCTCCTCCTTGTCAGCCCTGAAAGCTCATTTTTGGGTCCTCAGTGTAATGAGACTCTCGTCTCCTCCTGAGACTTTAGCCATATACAGTTGCTTCAGCTAGTTTCTCTCTTTTCTCTGAGCCTGTGCAGCTGGCAAAGGCCTTGAGGGGAATTTGCTCACTTTCTCCAGGGTCTTTGCCTTTCAATTTTTGTTAACTCTTCCACCACAGTGAGACTACTTACTGCAAGCTCTAGGTTGCTGTTATTTCTTCAGCCTTTATTCCCCAAAGTGGCAAATTAGCAAATGCCCTGATGAGAAACAGCAGTGGCAAGTGTGTTACCCTGTCCTCGGGGGTGCAGCCTGGAGAGTCCTGCTGCCTTGATTTTTCTCTTCAAACCTCCACACAGCTTTGCTTGTATGTTTCATCTAGTTCCTGTAGTTGTTCTCAGAGGGGTTATTCTGATACTGGTTATTCCATCATAGATGGTCGCAGCAGTCATCTTTCCACTGAGCACATCTCTTTAAATTTGTATGGAAATGAGAAAACACAGTCAAATTGATAAAACATTTTAAAATTGACAAGGAAATTGGCCTGCTTGTACACTGCTGTGGAAGATATAAATTGGTACCACCTTTCTGGAGGGCATCCTTAACAATGTACTCTTTGACCCAGTAATTCTGCTTCTAAGTATTTATCCTAAGAAGATAATCACAGATGTGTGTGAAGGTTTATTTACAAAGATTCCAATCCCAATTAACAAACTTGGAATCAAAATCCTCAGTTTGCAACAAAAGAATATTTGATAAATTGTGGTGCTTCTATACAATGGAATATAACAGAATCCAGCATTGCAAGTGACAGAAGAGAATGTTTAAGCGTATTTATTACTCTCTCCTAGAGGAGGGCATGGCAACCCACTCTTCTTGCCTGGAGAATCCCCATGGACAGAGGAGCCTGGCAGGCTACAGTCCATGGGGCTCCAAAGAGCCGTATATGACTGAGCGGCTAAGTACAGCGCAGCATAGACACTCTCTATGTAACATTAGCGAGTATTGTTAAGCACAGGCGATTACAAAGCAACATGAGCAGTATGATTCTGTTTAAGAATGTGTATGCAGATATATGATGGGAGTAATGCACATGGAAGTATTAATAGCTGGTATTGTTGGGTTTTTTCCTCCTTTGTGCGTCATCTAAAAATTTTCCATAGGACGTTACTTTTGTTCTAAAGGAAAATTAATGCCCTTAAAAGAAAAAACCTGGGACTTCCCTGGTAGTCAGGTGGTTAAAACTCGGTGCTCCCAACGCAGAGGGCACAGGTTCAATCCCTGGTCAGGCAACTAAGATCCCACATGCCAAAATAAATAAATAAATAAATAAAAGAAAAAACCCTTACAGCTGATAGGCCCAACTGATAGTATTTTCTAGTAAACATCTTATTTTATACTGGTTGCCTAAGCTCTGTCTTTATGCCCTTAGTGACGATACAGATTTTGTCAGAAACAGTGCCCGCCTTGAAATACTCTGGGGAGCAGAGCACCTCCATAGAAATGTACTTTAAATTCTTACTGGTCAGATTCAAGCAAAGGCTTCACCTGTTTCTGTCAGTGTGTGTCGAAACCTTTTAAATAAGGAATCCTTTTTAAAAAGTCAGTAGGTTTGTGGTAAGGACCTGGATTATCAGGGAAGATTTATTTCCTAGCCAAAAAAAAAAAAAAAAAGTCTAATTTCCTTTTGAAACCAATGGTCAAGATTTAATACAATTGCCTTTGTAAAACTAACATCAAGATTTCTGAAGACCATTCTCATCCTCTGTTGCTTTTTCTCTTGAAGGTACTGTCCAAGGCAGCAGCCCCACTATGACCTCTTGGGTTTCGAGGCTGCTTCCTAGGAATGGCCGTTCCCTGGCTACAGCATCAGAGAAGCAGCGAGCTGAGGACCGCCGTCGGCACCAGGAGGCCTACGGGTACTTCTTGCCCATCCAGACAAGGTGGCAGGACAATGACCAGTACGGCCACGTGAACAATGTCGTGTACTACAGCTACTTCGACACGATTATCAACCAGTATTTGATCAGGTAGGTGCAGGCTCTTCAGCCCCCATCCTCATGTCACCTTTCTGGCGTGCTCTGGTGGGGGCAAGTGCAGGGCATTCTGGGAGGAGACGCCCATTTTCCTCTAGTGTTTGTGCTGGTATGGCTCCTTTGTTGAGCCAACTTGAAGTCAGGTTATTCTGGAGAACAGCTGGACCAATAGGTGAGTAAGGAGGATTCTGTTGCCCTGCTGCTCCTGCAGTCGCAGGTGTTTGTCTGTCTTGGTCCTTTGCACTAAATCGTCAGCTAATGAATCTGGCTTTGAATCTCAATTAAGCAACTACACAACAAGCCGTGTAATATCCAAACCCTGAAACTTGAGCAGACAGTAACATCAGCCCTCAAGGCCTTTTTGTGAAAGAAAAGCAGCTGCTTCCCCCCACCGAGGGCATAAAACGGGGAGGAGAGAGAGACTAAAGAGTAAAGATGCATGTTGTAGCCTCTGAATGCCATGACGACAGGATCGCTGCCTGAGGTGTGTTTGCAAGATTGGTTAGTGTATGTTTGTTAATATCATTCTCTATATGAAAGACTGGGCTGCACACAGTGCTGTGTAAATCCCAGCTCCAACTTGTATTGACTGTGTAGTTTGGATCAAATTATTTAACCTAATTGAGTCTTTTGTAAAAATAACTCACATATACTGAGAGTTTTCTCTGTGTCTAGCACTGTGAAGCCTTTTGCACAACCTTTCTTGTTTAATCTTAAGACCACTTGATGAGAGAGTAGCAGATTGTCGGTCCACTGCCTGAACCCCTTTGCCTGTACCTTTCAGGGCATGCTGGCCTGACTCTCAGCTATGAACACTAACATTTCTTTGCCTAAGGACTTTCTCTGGCCACCAGAGCCCCTTTTGCAGGCAGGCCAGAAACCCAAGGAATCAGTGCTCCCTAAAAGCAACCTTCAATCACTGACTGATGGGAGTTAGTATATAATATGAATACCCCAACTTCCTTACTTCTTGGGTGAGTTATCTGAGCTGCATGCTGTACATAGCCTCCCAGGCTTGCCTAGTGGGATTAGGCTCCATTTCCCAGATTGGTAGCTTGAAAAAAACTGAGATAAAATGTACATACCATAAAACGTGAGAGTGAAAGTCGCTTAGTCATGTCGGACTCTTTGCGACTCCATGGACTATTTAGTCCATGGAATTCTCCAGGCCAGAATACTGGAATAGGTAGCCTTTCCCTTCTCTAGGGGATTTTCCCAACCCAGAGAGCAAACCCAAGTCTCCCACATCACTGGCGGATTCTTTCCCAGCTGAGCCACAAGGGAAGCTCACCATAAAACGTGCTATTTTAAAACCATTTAAGCATATAATTTGGTGGTTTTAGTATATTCACAATGCTGTCTGGCCATCACCACCATCTAATTCCAGAACTCCATCCCCCCGCCCCTTAAAAGAAACCCCATATCTGTTAGTAGTCATTCTAAGTTTCTCTCTCCTCCCATCCTCTGTCTCCATAGGTTTGCCAATTCTGGACATTTCATATAAATGGAATCATAGTATATGTGATCTTTTGTGTTTGGTTTCTTTCACTTAGCATTACGTTTTTGAGGTTGGTCAATATTGCAGCTTTTATTAGTACTGTTTCTTTTTATGGTCGAATAATAATCCATTGTATTGATATTTTGTTTGTTCATTTGTCATTGGATGGACATTTGGGTTGTTTCCACTTTTTGGCTATTATGAATAATGCTGCTATGCATATTTGTGTACAAGTTTTTGTGTGGACATGTTTTCAGTTCTTTTGGGTATGTACCTAGAATGGAATTGCTTGAATCATATGGTAACTCATATATTTAATTTTTGAGTAACCATCAAACTGTTTTCCTTGATGACTATACCATTTATATTCCCACCAAAATGATAAGGATTTCAATTTCTGCACATCCTTGCCAATACTTGTTACTATCTGTCTTTTTTGCTTGTAGTCATCCTGGTGGAAATGAAGTGGTATCTCATTTTGATTTGCATTTCCCTGGTAACTAATGATGTTCAGGATATTATCATGTGCTTGTTGGTCTTTGGTATATCTTCTTTGTAAACATACCTATTCAGATCCTTTCCCCATTTTTCAACTGGGGTATTTAGATTTCTACTGTTGGGTTGTGAGAGTTCTTTATATATTCTGAATACTACACCCTTATTATAAATGATTCACAAATACCTTCTCCCGGAGATCAAGATGTTGGAATAGAGGGATGTGGAGCTCACTCACTTCCACAAATACTTCAAAATATATCTATACATGGAATAATTCTCAAGAATATCTACTGAAAGCCTGCAGAAGATCTCATGCAACCAAAGCTGCAAGAAAGATCCCCACCTGCTTGGGTAGGACTATGGGAAAAAAGGAAAAGACAAATACTTTCTCCCATTCTGTGTTCTTTTTTTTTTTCACTTTCTTGCTAGTGTCCATTGACATGCATGAGCTTTTAATTTTGATGACAGTGGTAACTTCTTAAATAGCAAATGCTTTATTGGCTACTTTCTCCTCTTGTCCCTTCCTCACTTCTGCAGGATGATTTAATCTAAAAGATGTACCTTATAGTTTGCGCTCACAGTGCACATTTGCTCTGTATAGAGAAACTAAATGTCTCCTTTCTTCAAAAGAATGGAACAACTTTCACTTGAGACTGCCTGGTTCTCTCATATGCTATGTGGTCCTGAATTGTCACACTAATTTCACTTTGTGTGCACCTGTCAGTGAGTCCTCCAGAACTGGCTTACACTTGCTTACTTATGAATAATAAATGTTTTTTCCAGCACTCGTGTTAGCTTTTAGGAGAATGTGTGCTTTATACTTTGAAATCCACAGCAGGAGGTAAAAACCGCATTTGAGGCTTTTTGTAATTTCACATCATTTGTCACAGAAACTTGACAATGAGTTTTCCCAATTTGCTCCACGGCTACTTACTCTTTTTAAAGGAAGGATCAGCCCTGTAATTTCTTTGGGTTGACTCTTAATTTTATTGCTGTTGAGAGCTAGTGGTGTGTCTTAGTTTAGGTTTCCGTGTGTGTGTGTGTGTGTGTGTGTGTGTGTGTGTGCGCGCGCGCACAAGTCACTTCATTCGTGTCTGACTTTGCGATCCCATGGACTGTAGCCTGCCAGGCTCCTCTGTCTGTGGAATTCTGCAGGCAAGAATATTGGAGTGGGTAGCCATTTCCTCCTCCAGGGGATCTTCCTGACCCAAGGATCAAACCTGCATCTCTTACGTCTCCTGCATTGGCAGGCAGGTTCTTTACCACTAGTGAGTGCCACCTGGGAAGCCCTGGGTTGCTCCAATAGAAATACAAACTACTGGTTTGGATAACAAGTTTCTTTCTCCCATTTCTGGAAGCTGGGAAGCCCAGATCAGGATGCCAGCATGGGCAAGTTCTGGGAAGGGCCCTCTTCTTGGTTTACAGACACTTGCCTTCTTGCTGTATCCTCCCATGACCACAAAATGAGAGACAGAGCCACCCTCATGACCTCATCTCAATTTGATTGCCTCCCAGAGACTCCACCTCCTTCCTAATACCATTCCATCAAAGTGTAGGGTTTCAATATTTGAGTTCAAGGGGGAACGCAGACGTGCAGTCTACAGCATCACTTTTGTGACTTTTGAAGTCTTTCATTTGTAAATGGGCCTTCTAGAAAGGCAGTGTGCAGATAATGGTTGAGTCCTTCACCCAGTGGAGATTGTGTCTGTGTGGTCTCAATTCATTATCAACCATTTCATCCAGGTTCTGCTTTTGCCAGTCCTGGGGGGTAGGGAAGGGGATTGGCAGCATGTGAGGAAGAATTTCTGCCACAGTAGTGTCCTGTTTCATGTAGAAATCCCCAGATACTACGCATTGACTCCAAAACTGTGAAAATACCCTGACCATTGTGACCAGAGACTTCCTGATCATGACAAAAAATGGATTCACCTTCATACATTTTCTAAGAGATCCGAGGGTTGTTTAATAGGCTGCTCACTTGACTGTCAGAAGCCAAGCCAGCACCACAGAGAGGTGTGAGAACCCCGGGAAGACCGGCCAGGGAGAGGCAGGCTCGTTGCCCCAGTGTGAGTCAGTGCGAGGAAGGCAGCTGGTCCGGTGGAAACGGTGCCTCCCAGCCTGGCCTGCTCACTGGCCCTCTTCCACCTGGCTTTTCTGAGGATGGGTGGCTCTGCACATGTGCCAAACACCATGGGATAATCAACGAACCACACCCGTGTCTAGAAGATTCCCTCTTTGAGGAAGGTCTTCTCCAGGAGAGAGAACCAGGGTAAAACGGAGGCTGTGGAGGGGGAAGGAGAGACAGTAGAAGAGGCCACGCAGATTGCCCAAATTTCCCATCACTTTGACACGCAGAAGGGGTTAAGTCATTCTTGAGCAGTTTATCGCTCATCAATTGTAATTAAATATGTTTATATTAAATTATGTTCTGTAATTAATGTAAAATCCTTTAGCCTATGCTGTTATTAGAACCAGATGCTGAAGTACCAACAGTATTTCAACATGACTGTGCTGCCTTGCCAGCTGTCTAACTGTAATTACTTTAATCTCAGCTTGTTATCTAATTATCACCTTTGTAAAGGGAAAAGTACTCTCTAATGCTTACTGATTGTTTCAGATGATGATGAAGAGCGGGGAACAGCTGTCATAGATCGTGGGCCCTGCTTATCACTATGAAGGAACTTATCCTGAGACCTAGCCTGGGCCAAACTGCTGAAAAAAGGTGTCCCAGGCAGGAACTGGGGACTGGCCAGTAAGGGGAGACAGTTGGTGTGCTGGTTAAGGGTGTGGCCCCTGTGGATAGACTGTCAGGTGATGCCTGCCTCCTCCAGTGATGGCAGGGAGGTGGGGGGGACAGGTTAGTTAATCTGTTTAAGACTCTGTTGTCCCATCTGTAACATGGAGGCCGTAATGATACTGGAATCTACCTCAAGGATTGCTGTGGAGACCAAATGAGATACAGCATATGAAGCCGTTAGCGCGGTGTCTGATTAAAATA